TAATTTTTTACTGGTCTGTTCTTGCATATTTCTAATCACAAGTTTATGTTGTATCTGGTAAAGAGATCTGTTTGTGGATTGGTCAGCCAGAATATGGCACACTGTAGACATAAAAATACGGAAAGAACACCAGACACTAGCTCTGTCTGGTGGAAAATTATCTGCAAACACCATCCACATCTTCAAACACAGACCCGTGAAATGCAAACAATAGCATCTTGTGTCAATACCTTTGGCCTGGTTGTCCATGAGCTCTGCTGAAATGTGGCACTCAGAGATTTGAATCTTCAAAGTGAGAGCACTGCCCTCCTGGTGGGGAGCTTGGTTGCCTTCAGTCCCTGTGCGTGAGCACTTCAGCAGACCTTATTTAAAATTCTCTGCCTTCTTTGCTACTGTTTTAAGTTTGACCGCTGCGGATCTGCGATCTCTTATACTCCACTCACGTGTGTTAATGGCCAGCTTAATACATGTGGGGCATGCTTCTTTCCTCTAGCTGCTTTATTCTAGCTATCAGACACAAAAGAGGTATTTTAAACATTTTAAGTATTTTGTAACCTGCACTTACATGGTATATCACCTTAACTGTGAACAGCAGTGTTTGAGACACAGTTCCTGCCTGCAAGCAGATAAATTACTGTTTGCTCATGTGAACAGCCATCTGTTTATCTCCTGGAGTAGGAATGGACTCCTTAGACCTTGTTGTTATTCATGTAATTCAAAAATAATAAATCCTAACCAATGAAAAATCAACAAAATAGTGTGGGTTTGTAGGAGAAAAAAAGAAGTAAAAATCAATTTTCTCATTGCATGAATAGCATGCTCAAAAGTGCTGGATAAATCTGTTTTCAATCTTAGCTGCGATTCTAAGTAGATGCCGCCTTAGCTCTGGCATCATCATGGCTACAAAATACGAAGCAGGCTCCCTGGCACGGGGACACACACATGTCCTGGATTCTCTCTGCCTCTGCTTGTGGAAAGACAGCAAAAGCAGCAAGGCTGAGTCTGACTTGTTTTCTTTCTAGTTTATTGTGTTTAGGGGGGGCAAGTATATTGCAAAGCTGCAGATTGTCTGCCTGATGGTATCCAGCAACTGAGCAGAGGTGGGTACAGCAGTGTAACTCTATTCTGGTGGAACTGACTAGAGAATTTTGTAACAGGTAAACCAACCTGTATTATGTTTTTACCTACACTAGCAGATCCTATGCTAGATTCAATCAGATTGTATTTAATTTACCTTGCAGCTCAGATTTTATAGACCAGTCTCATTCAGTCTGAACTAAATTTGCTAGCTGTGACATGGATAAATATGTCTCCATCAGGAAAATCACTGTATTTTTTTCCTGTAAGAACAGGACTTCTAACTTGAAATTTCAAAGCCTCCCTGGCATCCATTTCACAGAAAACACACAAAATTATTATTTATTCTCAAATTTTGTCACTATCAGATACTTTCTAAGCATTTTAACAAACTTGTAGATGACACATCTTTCTCAAAAACAAGCTTTAGTAATAAAGCAAAAAAAAAAGCAGATGTAGCCTAAGTAAACTGGAGCTAGGAGGAAAATTTGACAGTGTCTTTTTTTCTCTCATGGCTCTTTATCCAGTTTCCCTGTGTGTGAGGATATGTGTGAGCAGATGTATACACAAGGAATGGATAAGACCCATCAGGGGAAACATTTTTGAAGTCACTACTTAGTGCAACAAAAAACATGAAAGCTACATCTTGGATATTTTTAAGATGCTCTTGCCTCATTGGGCTTTGATTCTGGTATAGAGGTGTTTTCTGTATGTTCCAGACAGCAGGAAAATAAATGTTTCTTATCAAACCTCTTTGGAATGAGAAACACCTAGCATGAGATTGCTGTCTAGGAGGAGAGCAGCTCTGCAGCTCATCCCACAGAAACACAACCATCTGGCTCACTTGGTGGTCTCCAAAATGGCAATTTATGTAGATCTAGTGCAACAAGGGACTTTCCATCTCAAGTTATTTCACTTCTGATGTGGAATATGTCCTGTTCAAAACAAATGGAAGCATGATGCTGGAACAAGAGGACACTTGGACAGAAAGGCTGCTTTGGCCAAGCAAAAGACTGCCCCAGGTCAGATGCTGATATGAGTAAACAGGGTATATTTGTGTGTGGGGCCTTGAAGCAGCTGGAGAAGTCTGTGCTGAAATAACAGAAATGATCTTTCCAAGCGCAGGTCTTGGGGGACAGTTCGATGCTGACGCAGAGGAGGCAGCGCCCGCTCATGCACCGCAGCACAGCGTTCTCAGTGGCCCTGCCTCGAGTGGGCCCTTCCCAAGTGGGCCGCCAGGCTGCATATGAAGCGGAGAGGATAATCATGCCCTGCGAGCTCGCAGCTTTCCCTCGCAGGATGCCACGGCCAGCCGGGTGAGTAATAGTGCTGGATACTCACAGCAGGGGGGAAGGCTGAGCCGTGCAGCCGGCGCCGACGGCTCCCCGAGCCGCGCTGGCCCGCGCCCCACGCCAGGGCAGCTCGGGTGCTGCTGGCGACGTGCACGCCATGATCAGCAAGCCCGCGTTATGCACCAAATAAGAGCATGTGGGTAGTATTTGTTTCCCTCTGTCAGATTATTTGTTCCAAATTCCATGCCTTCTTCTCATTGCCAACAGATAGTTCGCCAGCAAGTCCTTGTTTTGAAAAGAGCAGTTGGGACTTGGGTGAATTGGCCTACAAACTGTTCATTGCAGCCGTTAACTGTTAATTGTGAATCACCTATGATGTGCAATCATGATTTCTTCCTCCTGACTATACTCCATAAAACGCCTTTTTTATTATTTATTTTATTTTTAGGAAGGAGAAAAACAAATTGCAAACGCTGAGTGTCTAACTGTGAACTTGTGGTACTCCTTTACCAATGACTAGGTGATTCCACTGAACCGCACAGCTTTGGGGACTCATGCTTTTGTGACACTAGCTATTACTTGAATACTTCAAAACAACAGGTAATAAAACTGCACATACGACTATAAGGAAACTCAATTAATCACAACACTCTCAGTCTTGCCTGAGGAGTGCTATCGCTGGTCAATTCTCTTTCTCAGCCCGAGAGCCTTTGCATCTTCTAAGGTGTCAGTCAACATATTTGCATGAATAACACAACGCAGGGCAAGGGCCCGGCCCTCATCAGAGAAATCTCTCAGGCCTGAGCAGTGCAAGGGATGGCACACTACGCACCCACCTCAGCCCCCTGGCCGCAACACCACAAAGCAAGCCCAACTACAGCAGGTATGTGTGGCACTTGGAGAAGAGGCACTGGGGAAGCAAGCAGGAAAGGAGCTTTCCAGTCAGCTACCGTGTAATTCATCCCACGGTGACTCTTCTTTCCTAGCTGTGCGGATCGGCCGTGTGCATGGACCAGTGAAGCAGCAACTCAGTAAACAAGCAGGAGCAGAAGGAAAATGAGCTGAAGGAAATTAGCCCAAGAACGAGGCCGTGAGTGGGCTCGCGGATGGGAAACTGCGGGAAATAACGTGTTTGTGCAGAGCGCCGCGAGGCCCGAGCCCCCGCCCCGCCCGCCATTTGCTAGTCTAATGAGACGTGCATACATTATGCAAAACAGCGCCTAGGTGCGTTCATTATGCTAACGAGCAGGGCCTGGGGGCAGAGCGGGCAGCCTGCGGCGGGACACGCGGCTGCCTCCCGGCCCGGCCCGGCCCGCTCCGTTCCGCGCTGACCGGCGCGGCGCTGCTGCTGCTGCTGCTGCAGGGGGAGCAACAAGTCCGGTGGAGGGAGGGGGGGGGGGGCTCCCGCCTTC